CAGTTCTACAAAATAACAACAATTACCGTTATATAGCGTTATGAAATTTTCAAGAATAAAAATTGAAAGTTYGTTACATACTATATTTAAACAAACAATTAGTTAGTTTCCCGCGGAAAACTGGATGTTCCGAAAAACAAATAGTCGCCCGAAAACGCAGTAATTGCGTTCAACATCTCATCTTTTTACAGCGCATGACAAACATCAAAAATCTCAAATACTTACGGAGCACTTAAAGCAATGAGCATGCCACGAGTCCCCAATAGCTTCTACCCAGCGGTCTCCCCCACCAATAGCTTTTCTGCAACCAGCACACTTTATGCAAAACATGTCCTTGTAGCATGGCTCACAGTATGGCATTCCACGGTCAACGTTGAAGCCTTCACTACCAATTTGCTTGCCACAATTGTTACACGTGAAGTGTTCGGGATGATATGTTTTACCAATGGCCTGCACACACGGCTGAAAACACATACGAATGTTTACATAACACAGACTTTTCTTAGGTCCGGTTCATACGTCGAGCCAGCGTCGCGCCGAACCAAATAGTTTTTAGCACATGAACAGCTCGACGTATGAATTAATTGAGTTCGGCGCGACCGTAGCACGGCAGTGGCAGAAAATCGTATTTTTAAAAATAGAATTTTCAAACACGTAGTTGTTTCCAGGTAAACTTTAACTGTTTTCAGAGGTGAAGTTTCGTTTAAATAATTGGAAATAAGTAAAAACATCTGATACGTCAGTCAGCTGCAATGAGCATACTTTGACGATCATAACTGAATGGAAGACCAGCAATAGCTTTCTACATGCTTGAAAACCTGGTTTTCACTACGCTATAAGCATAAAGAGTGAATTGAACAACAGCTTTTGACGAGGTAAGAAGGGAATATCTTGGTACTTTTGTTTGTTTGTTTGTTCTTTTGTCTCCAAAAAGGTTATTCTTTGTCTTACGCTTATTACTAGGCGGCTCATGTCGATCTCTTATGCCGCACTCTCGACTTCATTCCTTTGTCTTTTCTTTTATTCTTGGCTTACGCCTATGCCAGTGCTATGCCTATGTCCTAGTGAAAACCAGTCTTAAGGTGTTTCGATCGTAATAAATAGCGCTTCGCGCGTATTTTTAAACTCCAACTACGTCGCAAATTTCGATTTAATTGCACTCAAACTTTCACAGAAGTCAAACTTATTATCGATAATTAATTTCGATTTGTTCGAATGTACATCATTTTGCTCAAACAACTCGAAATTTTAGGTTAAGATTTTATTGAAACTTCGTCAGTATATCAATTATGTTATTAAGAAATGATTCTGAACAACTCGAAATTTTAGGTTAAGATTTTATTAAAACTTCGTCAGTATATCAATTATGTTATTAAAAAATGATTC